TCCCATTTCACAGACGCAGGGATATATGATCATTTTAGATGATGAATCCCTGTCTCTCTAACTGCTACATGAGATTAGGGGTTGGCAGATTAACAGCCCAAGAGCCTGTGATCGGTTTTTCTAAATTGAGCTTTATTGGGTCACAGCCTCACTCATTTGTTGGTCACGTTTTGTTTATGGTTATGGTACAATGGCAGAGTTGGAGAGACTATATGGCCCACAAAACCTAAATTATTGACCGTTTTGCCCTTTACAGAAAAAGTTTGCTGACTAGGTGGCTGAGCCAGGGAAGTCTGAACCGTACACTTGCTGTGTGAGCTTGGACAAATCACTTGCCCCCTCCACACCTGCCCAGACAACTAAATCCCAAGGGTTGTAATGATGCTTATAGGTGATGACTATGAAAAGTTTTTTAAAAGTTTTTGTACATTGTAAAGTGCAGTGCCTATTACCAGCTTGGTACCGGGCAGGTGCTAAAAGCTGCTTGTTGGTGAACAAGAAGGCAGTCGTGATGTAGGCCTGCCTGGCCCCCGCTGCTGGCTCCTCCCAGGGCTGCAAGGAGGCGGCATCTGGGCTTTAGATGCTGAATACATCCTTGTCCACTCTCAGGCAGACTTGGCAGGTTTGGGCATAAATTAAAATTCTTGTGGGGAGTCACCTTATATGTGGTGCCACTTTATTGCCAAGTCATTATGGTAATTTGCAAAGCTCTCTGGTGTGTAACTGGAGCTATTTGCTTCAGATTTGCTGGCTATGAGCTCATTCAAGCTGCTCCGTCCTGTATTTGGTGAACCCCAAAGACTCTGGGGTTTATTTTTCTGAGTTTGGGCTCAGAGTTGACCAGGCCTGACCTTTCTGGGGAAACATGTCCCTGCCCTGAGCTCAGGGAAATGCAGAAGAAGTATCTATAATCATCATTACTTTTCCAGGGCTTGCTATGAGCCAGGTAACATGCCAAATTCGTTGTGCCTATAATCTCATCACCATGGCCTTGTGGAATAGGTGTTAGCACCATTTCACAGATAAGAAAACAGGTTTGGGCTTGATGCCTGTAGCACAGTGGTTATGGTGCCAGCCACATACACCAATGGTGGCAGGTTCAAACCCGGCCTGGGCTAGCTAAACAACAACAACTGTGGAAAAAAAAATAGCTGGGCATTGTGGCAGGTGCTTGTAGTCCCAGCTACTTGGGAGGCTGAGGCAAGAGAATGGCTTGAGCCTAGGAGTTTGAGATTGCTGTGAGCTGTGAGGCCACAGCACTCTACCGACGGAGACATGGTAAAACTCTGTCTCAAAGAGGCTTGAGGAGGAAACCAAACCAGATTTCTACCTGGCTTCAGAAGTGCCAGTTGGGGCTCAGCCATGGATTTGCTGTGTGACCAGGGCAGGTCGCTTCCCTCTCTGAGCCTTAGTTTCCTGCCTGTTAATGAAACAGATGGTCAGCTGGTCCCAACCCTGGTATTCTAAGCTTTCTCATCAACTTGTAAGAATGAACACAGCCTCCGTCACGTCCCAGACCTCCAGAGGAGTTTCATGTGCATGAAGAAGGCCAGACCACGGTCTGCTCCTGGCTGCTGTGGCGCAGAGTGAGACATGGCCACTGGGTGCCAGCCCCTCCCAGGGCACCCACTCCTATCCCAGGGCGGTGAAGCAATGCCCACATTTTTTCTGGCAGATTTCAGCTTGTGGCAGGCAGTGGTCTTCCCAAGGGCACCAACATGTCTAGGACACGCGTTAATGGCCCCAGCTTTAACTTCTAGCCTCTGAGAAAGTGTGCAGCCTGGGGCAGAGTGGAGGTTTTGAGAGACCTACGTTTGGGCCCTGGCTGTGGAGTAATTGTACCGTCTAGGATGGTGACTTGCTGCCTCTGGTGCTCAGTGTCCCTCTGCAAGTTTGAGAGATCTATGTTTTCACCCAGAGCACCGTGAAGGTCCCAGGAGACAAGGGCTTGAATGGGTTTGGAGCACCAGGCAATGCCAGCACAATTAGGCTTTTCCTCCCTCCCAAAGCTGGCTTCTTTATTAATTGCAGGAAAATTTTTTACTATATGTAGAGGGGAAGCAGCTGAGAGGCCCCAGTAGTTTGTTTTTTTTGTTGTTTTTTTTTTTGAGACAGAGTCTCAAGCTATACCCCTGGGTAGAGTGCTGTGGCATCATAATTCACAGCAACCTCCAACTCTTGGGGCCAAGCAATCCTTTTGCCTCAGTTTTTTGTTCTCTATTTTTTAGTAGAGACAGGGTCTCACTTTTGCTCAGGCTGGTCTCGAACTTGTGAGCTCAAACTATCCATTTGCCTTGGCCTCCCAGAGTGCTAGGGTTATAGGCATGAACCACCCCACCCAGCCTAGTAGTTTGTTGAGTAATGACTCTTCCCACAGAGGTGGTGGGTTTGAGTTCAGCTTGGCACCCTCCTCTCTGTGTGACGTCACTAAGCTGCTTGACCTCTCTGAGCCTTCGTGTCCTCGTCTATGGATGGGGTGGGCTTACCCGCCTGACAGAGTTATCGCCAAGATTAAAGTTTGGAGCCATCATTATGGTTTTGCTTTTTACTTCCCTAGAGGCTGTCTGGCGTGATCTCCATTGGAGTCAAAGGTAGGAACAGTTATTTGGGGGACTCCAGTTATTCAGCCATTGACCCTGAGGCAGCAGGACATGCACTTTGAAGTCTGGGAGCCCTGGGCTTTCTTGAATCATAGCCCAACCTCTTCCATACCCCTGAGCCTGGCCAAAGGCACCTCATTGCCACAGACCTTGTACTGAGCCCTGCTCCCAGGCTGGGCCCTGGGAAGGTGTGAGAAGCTCCTCACTGCCATTCTCAGGGCCCACTTTCCTTCACTGCAACAGTCCCCCAAGGGAATAAGGGGAGAAGGAAGCCAGAGGCCCCCAAAAGACCTGATAGATCTTCGAAGGGAGCTCAGAACTGCACCCCCACCCAAGCCTCTGGGAGAAAGATCCTGGCGAAACAGCCCCGTGTGATGATTAAGCTCTCTCTGCTCCAAATGCTATTAATGGTCATAAAATTATCCACAGTTTTCTGAGGCCCTGTCCCAGGGCTTGCCTCAATGGGACAATAAAATTGCATGCAGAAACGATTTGGAAAAGGCAGAGACGGCCAAGCAGAGACGGAGTTAAACAAGCGGCAGCCTGCTCTCGTTAACTCAGGCCATTCACATTTGTTACCAGGGATTTCTTTTTAATTAAAAAACAACCAAGTTATTAAAAAATAAGTGTGTGAGGAGCTGGCCAGGCAGCAGCTGAGGCCGGCAGGAACAAGCGTTTTGCGCAGGACGGGCTGAGAGCTCAGCCGGGAAGGTAGCAGGGAGTAGCTGTTCACCTGAGTCCTTTCAACAGGCTCACTGGTGTCTGGGACTCTGGGACCCTGGGCCCCCCACCCTCCCTGGGAGCTTTTGGGCTCTACTTACCTCTCTGCAAACTAAAGTGCCCTGCAGGCCAGCTCTGTCCAGAGCTGTGGGCACCTGGCGAGTTAGCACTAGTGGCACCTGGATAATTGTGTGCTGAAGGGACTGCCTCTGAATGGGCTAGAATTAGGGTTGGGGGGATGGACCCTCAGGGGTGGGCTCACCAAAAGGCCTCTTCTTGTTGCATAGGGATTAAGTTGTAGGGTTTGGGTCTGACAGACCCCAGCCAGAAATCTATCTCACAAGCTTACTAGCTGTGTGTTCTTGGGAGAGTAATTGTACCTTCCTGAGCCTCTGTTTTCTCTTCTGTAAAGTGGGGGTGATGATACTTGTATCTCCCTGAGCTGGCAGTGGTTGTGCTCAAAGGAGACGGGGTGTGAATCACCAGCCCAGGGCCTATCCCTACCACTGGGCAGATGCTGCTTTTGTTGTTATTGACCTTGTCCTCGTGTTAAGGGGTTGACCGGGTTCTGGGATCAGCCTTCTTAATGGTTTATCTTGGTCAGTGTTGACAGTAGTTGGACAAGACCTGGGCCTGTTGGTGTTTTATTGCATCTGTAAGGCACCCAGTGTCTCTGAAGCACATTTAACGGTAAGAACAATCTCCAGCCCTGGTGTACCTGTGAGGTTCCAGCACTGTGCACGGGGCTTTGGCTGCTCTTAGAACCTCACGGCCTCGGTGGAGATACGACAGGGCTGTCTTCATCCCACACCAGGGAAACAGCATCGGCCTGCGCACAGAAGTTTGTCCGAGTTGAGGGTTGGTTTGGGGCGGAATAGAGGCTCACATTGAGTTCTGTGAGGCCCAAAGCTTGTGTTCTTTTGTCCTTGGCATCACTGTGGGAGGAGAAAGGGCAGAGAGCCCAAGAAGGTAGTTTCCAGATTAGCATTCCTCACCTGTAGATGAGCAAAGTGAGGCTCAGAGAGGAGAAGGAGCTCATCAGGACCATGCCTGACATTTCTGACTGTGTATAGTTTTCAACACTCTCACATCTACTGCCTCAGTTAATCTTCATAAAACCCCCGCCTAGCAGGGCAAGGCAGGGCACCAGATAGTTAGGCTGTCAGAGAACCAGAGGACACAGAGGTGTAAATGACCATAAATGCATGTGTGTCTGAGCTGTAACACAATTTGGGACCAGCAGTAACAGATGCTGTTTTGCTTGGTGATTTGAAGAATTAACCCTTTCCAGTCCTGTGTCGGACCTCATCCCACATGATGATTTTCTGCTGTTGTTGTTCATAAACAAAAGTAAACTACTTTATTTTATGTAACCTAAAGTAATCATCAGCTGGGTTCAGATTTACGTTTTTCCTCTTTTAAAACTGGAGGATAATTACAAGTAATCCACCAACCCCTTTTCCACCCAAAATAAATCAGAGCTGAGGAGGATGTGTGGGTGACAGAAAAATTGGATTGGAAAGGGTTAAGTGAGGTCTCTTGGTGCCTCCAACGCAGCAGGGGTGCAGTTAGTGCAGACCCAGGTGCCTTGTCACACCTGCACCCCGGCCTGCCTACCTACAGCCCTGCAGGCCGTCCTGCTCACTTGTCTCCTCCTTCTCCCCGTCTCTCTCTGCCTAGTGAACGGGAGCTACGGCCACTGCACCCCGGGATCGGAGAAGAGCCTGCTGGACCTGGACCTTGCCGAGGGCCCTGGCCCTACCTGCTGTCAAGGCTTATTTCTCTCTGCAGGAACCCCACCACCCCGAGGTCAGCCCCCAGCCTGTGAGAGGCTGCTGCATTTCTCCCACCCTAACAGGTATGTGCCCATGTCCCTGTCAGCTGCCTCTGCGGACACCCTGAGGAGGCCAAGGACCAATGGCTCAGGCCTCACCTAATCTGCTTGGCTGCTGGGACATGTCACACGGGGAAACAGAGGCATGAGAGCACTTAGTAGCACCATGGCCACAGCTTGGCCAGGGCCTTGGGAGAAGCACACAGATGGCTTTATTGAGGTGTTTCCCCATTGCACAAGCTGGGGTGGCTTTTCACAGAGAACCTGTCATTTAAGAAGAGGAAGATTCAGCAATTTGGAATTCTGATTGTCTGAGATCACAGACATCAGCAGACTGGGTAGCTTGGTTTCCTCCACATGGAGAAAGAGAGAAGCAAAGTGAGAAAAGGGAAACTTCTCAGGTCAGGGAAGGAAAACCCAGCTTTGACTTCATGTGGTGTCCAAACCTATATTGCTCCCAGGGAGAGAGGGGTCCTCCCCAGGCCATGTCCTGCCCCAGGAGCCAGCACCCACTGAGCCCAGCCAGGTGACCATTCAGTGTCTGTGCATATCCACGGATGTCCACCTCTGCAAGGGCGTTTCATCAGGTTGCATATGGGAAGGGCCCCAGCTCTGCTTTTCTGTTGCTTGTAACAGATGCCCTGAGACTGGTAATTTATAAGGAAAAGGAATCTGTTTCTTACAGTTCTGGAGGCTGAGAAGTCCAAGGTTGAGAGGCTGTATCTGCTGATGGCCTTCTTGCTGGTGGAAACTCTACAGAGAGTCCTGAGTGGCAGAGGGCAGTGAGGGAGCTGGGGGTCTGTTTGTCTTCTTATAAAGCTACTTGTCCCACTCCTGTAATAACCTGGTAATCCATTGACCTGTGAACAGATTAATCTGCACAGGAGGGAAGAGCCCTCATGACCCACTCACCTTTTAAAAGCCCCACCCCTCAACACTGCCACATTGAGGATTAAGTTTCAAAATGAGTTTTGGAGGGGACAGATGTTCAGACCATAGCAGCTGCCCTCTGGTTTGCCAACAGCCAACTCAGTCACTGACAGACCTCTGTGCACACTGGCCCAGCCCCAGGACCCTCATCCACTGCCTGGGGCTGCTAGCCTGAGACCTGCTTCACTGGCCACGGATTCTAAAAGGTGGCCCAGCTGCCTCTTTGCAGCTCATTCCTTCCCCAGCAGTTTGTTGAGTGCCTATCATGTGCCAGGCACTGTGGTTGGTGCCGGGGTACCTTGGTGAAGGAAGCAGAGATCTCCCGCTGGAGCTCTGCTCCGAGTGGGTATGATGTGAACTAGACGGGTGTTTACTCTTCCTGTCTGGAGTCATTGTTCTGTGAGAATCCAGGTTTCCTGTGGCTTCCTTTGACACGTGTGAGCTGAGGTTGCAGTCCTGCTCTCTGAGGGTCTCACTTGGCTATTTCTCTGTCCCTTCCTGGCTGGAGCTGGGGGGTGCTAAAGCTGCAGGGAGCCAGAGAGGGAGGGGCTGGGGCTGGAAGGTTACCTTGGGAAGCAGAGGGCGGATGATGACCCCACAGCACTAGCTGCAGAGAGCCTGGGACAGTGGCACTGGAATAGCAGTGATAACAGCTCTCCTGTCCTGCCAGCTCCTTCCCAGAGGGCGGTCACAGGGCCCTCTCATCATCCTGGCAGCTGGCCCCTGAGGCAGAGGGGCTTAGTTCTCATTTTACATGTGAGGGAACCAAGGCTCAGACGCGGTGAGGTCACACGGGCGCCCGAGCCAGAATGGGGACAGCACCAAGTCTCCTCTTCTGCTCAGCCAGCCAGTGGGGGTTCTTTGGCTCTCAGCCCCATATTGCTCTCCTGGCCTTTCCCTTTCTCAGAGTGCTCTGGTGTTGGGCAGGCCCTGGGGTCCTTCTCTGCACCTTGCCTGGTCCCTCACCCAGAATGGTGGGTACTTTGGTGTAGGAATCCCCTTGTGCCCCTCAAGCCTAGCCTCCAGTGCAGAGGGCAGAGGGAGTGCCCCACGTTTGGGGGAGATCTCTAGGCACTGCCCACCTGGAGAAGACAGCCACACCCACTCACCCTGACCTCACTCTCACCAGGAAAGAGGTCAGAGTAGCAAAAAGACTTTTGCCCAGAAGTTCTCACCACTGGAGCATGGCTGAACCTGGTGTGTTCCCCATAGTCATTTGGAGTGTCTGGGCCTAAAAGCCTGGCCCCTGCACCCCAGAAGCTGTCCTTCAGTTATGCCTGGTGCCCCTCTCACTGTGACTGTGATTCAACCTCCACTCACTGCCATTAACAATGGAAGACAAGCTACTTGGGGGCAAAACTTCATACGATTAACATTTTTAAAAATTAAGAGAGGTTACAAAACTTAACAAAGATCCAAGGGAAATGTAAGTGGAATTTATGACACACTGGATCTGGATGTTCCTCAAAATGCCAGCCTTAGCCTTCTGTCTATAAAACTCAGGTGTCAGGATGGTGTCCAGGGCTCCAGGGATGGGTGAGCTCCTCGTCCTCTCTCTCTCTCTCCCCCTCTTCCCCTCCACACTCTTTCTTGCTTCCCAGACAACCAGTCCATGTGCCTCCTCTCTCCGCTTATAGCCCTCACCTCCCTCTTCTGCTCTGAACTCCCCTGTCCCTTGGTCCTCAGCTTCCCCTCCAGCCCTTCCAGCCCTTCCCTGGGCCTCCCCCAATGGAGTGCCCATCTTCTCATGACCTCTCTGGCCACTGTCTTCCAGGTCACCCAGATCCCAGGCCACCTATGTGAATGGCAGCCTCCCAGCCACACAACACATCAAGCAGGAGTCCCTGCCCGACTTCCAGGCCATGACAGAGGCCCGCACGCCCCTGTCTGCCCACTGCCGGGCCCCGCCAGCCACTGGCCTGCACACAGACCTGGACCTCCCCACCAGAGGCCTTGCCAACCCCGCACCTTCCGGCTACCTGCTGGGCAACGAGCCCAGCTCTAGCCTGGGCCCCCAGCCTGAGGCCCACCTCCCCGAGGGCAGCCTGAAGCGCTGCTGCCTCTTGGGCCTGCCCACCAGCTCCTCAGCCTCCTCCTCGCCCTGTGCCTCCTCTGACGTCACCCCCATCGCCCGCTGCTCCCAGACAGCTCTGGTCACCTGTATAAATGGACTTCGAAGTCCACCTCTGCCGGGAGACCTGGGGGGCCTTCCCAAGCGGGCCCGGCCTGGCCCTGTGTCCACTGAGAGCCTTGAGGTCAGTTTGCAACTTGAAGCCTGCCGGAAGGGCGGCTTCCTGAAGCAGGAACCTGCGGATGAGTTCTCAGAGCTGTTCGGGCCTCACCATCAGGACCTGCCACCCCCATATCCCCTGCCTCAGTTGCCATCCAGCCCTGGTCTTGGAGGCCTGGGGCTGGGCCTGGCGGGTGCGGTGGTGGCCGGGCAGCAGGCCTGCCGCTGGGTGGACTGCTGCGCAGCGTACGAGCAGCAGGAGGAGCTGGTGCGGCACATCGAGAAGAGCCACATCGACCAGCGCAAGGGCGAGGACTTCACCTGCTTCTGGGCGGGCTGCGTGCGCCGCTACAAGCCCTTCAACGCCCGCTACAAGCTGCTCATCCATATGAGGGTGCACTCGGGCGAGAAGCCCAACAAGTGCATGGTGAGTTCCCACGGTCGCCGGCCTCATCCAGCCTGGCAGGCAGAGGCACCAACTCACTCCCGGGGGAGAGGCCGCCTGGGGCTGGCTGAGGAGGGAAGGAGCAATGCTGTGATGTGGCCACTGCTCAACATGGTCAGTGCCCCAGCACTGGGAACCTTGGTAGAGGGCCCCTGGGGCTCGCGAGGCACCCCATCCCCTACCCTGAAGCATAAATGTGCCTGAGGATGCCACAGGGCCCTGTGCTCTAGGTCACAACAGGCTTGGCCAAGCCTTCTCTTAACAGGGACTCCACGTCCACCTGCTGGGGGTGAAGAACATTTCCTCCACACTGGGCCTCCACACCAGGCCTCCATGGTGGCCTTCCCAGGGAGGCTTTCTGGGCCTTCTGAGCTGCCTGTGGCCTTGGCTTCCGCCAGAAAGCACTGGGCCAGGCACCCGCCTTGAGAGCTGTGGATCCTCAGGGCATGCTTTGGGGGAAGGCTCAGGGGTAGTAGCTAAGGTCCTGGAGAGCAGCAGCAGTGTTGTGGCTGAGGTTGGACCACAGTTTCTGTGGGGGGAGAGAGGCAAGAGCGTGAAGTGTGGCACCCGAGCCTCTGGCCCTTCTGACTGGTCATTTCTGTGTTCTGCTTTCGCTGGGTTAGAACCTGTGTCAGAGGCTGGGACCGTGGTCTTACTCCCTGATATCCTTGGCCTAATCTCTGTGTCTGCCCCCAAGGAAGGGTGGCACAGTGTGCCTTGATGTGTTTGTATGACGAGAACACATGGGTGGCAGAGTGTGCCTTGATGTATTTGCATGATGAGAACCGTGGGTCTCCAAGGCCGCTGCTTCATCTGCCCAGCCACAGGGCAGTAGTGTGTCTGGTCTACAGGGTCCGGTGTTGTAGGCAAGGTCAAGCCTTCTACACTCCTTCTGCTGGGCTCTTTCTCATGGAGCGTTCAGTCTGGGAAGGCCCAGTGTTCTCCCTTGCCCAGAACCCAGGGGTGACATATGCAGGAAGGAGGCAGGAGCCACTGGCAGCCGGCTGCATTAACTCCATCCTCCTGGAGCGAGATGCTGACACTTGGGGCCAGCTGGCCTGTGAATCTGTGAGCTGGGCATGTGAGGGATCAGTTTCTGCAGCTTCCAGGAGGCTGGATCTTGAAGGAGCAGCAGGAGGTCCCTTTGTACACTAGTGAGCAGGCCATTGCCTGTGCCAAGGGGAAGCAGGAGGATGGAACTGGTGGTTGGTGTCCTGGTATCCAGAGGGGTAGTGGGGAGAGGCTGCACTTGGCAGGCTGAGTATTTGATTTTATCCTGTGCCTTTGGTTGAGAGGATACTGGAGGGAAGGCTGGTGCCTGGGCCACCGCTGGGCATGCCGTGGTTCATTTGGGGTCTTGTACATGCCCCTCCCTGAAAGGAGATAACCAGTAGACAGAGCCTGCAGGCCAGGCTGACCTCTTGGAAGATAGAGGGGCCCATCTTTCCCTGAGACCCTGGAGCCAACAGCCATTGAGCCACAGTCCTCATGCCTTTTCTCCTGTGTGTGAGCCCACTGGTGTCTGCAGGGGCCTAGGTGCAGGATGCATGGCCTGAATGACCCTTGACATGATGTGGTCCGTGGCCTTCTCACAGTGAGGCCTCTGTGTGGAATCAGTATTTGGGAGTGTCTGTGTTGGACTTTAGGGACTTTGGAAAGGATCTAGGCCTCCCCTGCCTCCATTTTCTAGCTTGGGGAGTGGTAGCCCAGCCGGAGGCCCAGGGCCTAGGTTACTCAGGGCCATCTCACGATCTCATTCCTAGGCCAGGCTGCCAGGACCTCATCTGATTCCACCTGGCCCTGGGGACACTCACACTCAGGGATGGGTGGGAGATCCATGACAGGTCCTGGCGGGGAGGCCCAGAGTGCTTCATGGAGAAGGTGGTGTCTGAGCTGTGTCTACACTAACCTATGATTACATCAATCTTTATGAGTCTGGTAAAAGCAAGGGTTCTTACAGATGGAGAAACAAAGGTTCAGTGGGGTCTAGCTGGCCTTCAGCTTGTTCCTGTGAGAACACCTGGTCTTGCCTTGTGGTGGGGGTTGGGATTATGGTGACAATCATACCAGCAGGCAGCTTCTGAGGGTTGGCCATGTGCAGGTGCTCCACTGAGTGCTAACTTCACCTGGCCCTCAGCATAGCCCTGTAGGGCAGCTACTGTTAAACCCCGATTTTATAGATGAGGAGACTGAGGCTCAGAAAGATTGCATAATTTGCCCCAGGTCATATAGTTAGATGAGACAAACATAACAGTAGCAATAATAATAATAGAGGCTAAGAATCACAATAGTAACAATAATAAAAGTTACTTGCCCAACATTATACAACTAGTAACTATGAGGGTGGCTTTGAACCTACATCTCTCTCTACACTTAATGCTCTTGTTGATGTAGATCTTCTGCTCAACTGATTATTCTCTGGGGTCCTGGGGTAGCCCTGCTGGGTGCCACCTTCTGGAGCCTTCAGCAGCTCCTTCTCAGCACCTCCCCTGTGCCCCTCCTGCCTGCCGTGGGGTGGGTAACCCAGGGGAAGGGGCGGGCCCCAACCCACACCCAGATAAATAAAATCTCTCTTCCCTGTAAAATTATTAATTTCTCATGACAGGCCTCTGCTACCATGCACTGTAATAGACAAAGGAATTTTGGACCCAGAGCCTCTGGAGAACAGGAAATAGATGAGACATTTTGATTGAAGAGTAAATGGCCCACTAAAATAGCAGTTAATCCTTTTATTATCTTTCCAGCAGCCGTTTCCACAGTTCTTTCATGAGGTAAGCCTCTCCCCACCCCATCCAACTGTAGTACTCCCGTCCTTGCAGCTGGTTTAAATTTAGCCAGTGGAGCCTCTGCCCCGGCACCAGGCAGGCTCGCAGTGAGAGGAGCCCTGCTCCCCTCTGTCCGGGCAGTGGAGTCCTGAGGCCAGGTCTGGGACAGGGACTCTCTGGCCCCTGGAGTAGACCGCACCATCCGCCCCCCCCACCCTGTCCCCACTTGGCCCATCCACACTGTCCAGAGGAAGCTTCCTAATCTCTTTGTAATATCCTGTTTTGTTTCTTACATTGCCTGAGTTGTCTTAGCCTTATTAAATGTGGGTCTTCATCTTCGTTAAGATAACAAGCTTACGCGTCCAACGCAAATACTGACGCGACGCCTCAAAGACGTTAACTTTGAAAAGATTAAGTTCATGCTTTCTTAGGTTGGTTCTCCCAGACGACCGGGATTCTGATCGTCTGAGACCACAGAAATCAGCAGACTGGGTAGCTTGCTTTCCTCCACGTCAAGAAAGAGGTAGATGAGGAAAAGAAAACGCCTCGGGACAGTGTCTTTCCTACCTTGGGTTCTATAAAGTAACAGTAGTAATGACAAGGCTCCCTCCCTCACTCCTGTGAAGAGTTTTACCAAAGCTGAGAACACAGCCTGGAGGGCACATGCAGGGGGAGAAGCCCAGCTCTAGAGTGTCCTAGACCCGGGTCCCAGCCGTGCCTGCTGCTTTCCAGCTGTGTGACCTCAGGCAGGTGACTTGCCCTCTCTGAACTGTGACATAACTGGATCGTAAAACAGGGCAGTTATACCAGTTCTTGCCTTTTAGGGTTGTTGTGATTTGGGTTAAAAGAGATGACAAGGGTCAATGCCTGTTTAATTCTCTCCTTCCCCATCACACTCTTTCACAGTGATCTCAGGAGATTTGTACAGTAGCCCTAGGGGTTTGGACAGGGTCATTTAAAGCCATTTTACAGCTGATGAAACTGAGACTCAAAGCAGCTAGTCAGTGGTGGGGCCTGGACACAACGCGGGCTGAATGCAGCCGCCCCTGTGCTCAGCGGGTTGGGTAGGGCAGCCACGTGGCAGGTGCTTCTGCAGGGGCAGTTCACTAACCTTAGTGGCCAGTGTCTCCCAGGGATCCCCAGTGTTTAGCATCTTGCTGTCACAGCAGGTTATCTGTCTGTAGGGGGTGCCTGGGCCCAGATCGGGGCAGCTGGCCAGCACAGGGGCCTCCAGCACATGCCCTCCAGCCCTGACAAGCACCTATAGTGTCAGGACTGGGTTCTCACTGGCCCGGGTTCCTGCAGTGTCAGGACTGGGTTCTCACTGGCTCAGATTCCTCTGGTGGCTGCTACTGCTGCACTGGCCACTGTCACCACCCCCTATGCCCCTCTCTGCTATTTGTCGGTTTGATCCAGGTACTTTTGAACCTGGGACCGGGGAAATACATCTGGCCAGAAGCTAAGTGTTACTGATTGGTCCTAAATAGGTGAGGGACTCAGCACCAGCTGCCCTGCTGGGCCTCCTGTGATGGCCTTGTCCTCCCAACCTAGGCCTGACTTACCCTCTTCCCCATAATCCCCAGGCTCTGGCTTCCCTTTTAGCCTTGCCCCAATCCTCTTGCCAACCCACACCCTCACTCCACTGTCCCAAGAAACAAAACTGGGTGCTGGGAGGGTGTGTGTGGTAAAGGAGTTACTCTTCACTGAGAGATTCAGAGATTCTTCCCGGCTCAGTGCTAGCTATTCCCCACTCCATCTTCAGAATAGCACTAGTCAGAAGTCTGAACCCAGAGAGGCCAAGTCACTTCCCAGATCGCACAGTCTGCCAAGTGGCAGGGGACAGATACTGACTCCATCTGCTGACCTGCCCAGCCAGCCTCTCAAGAATTCAAGAGAGGCTTGATGAGTGTTCTGGGCTCAAAGCGAAGGAAGAGAATCAAGATATTCTGAGATAAAGTATGTCCAGCTGTGAACTACTATGCCTGTTTTATGGAGGAAGAAGCTGGGTGTTTCTCATGTTCCCAGGCAGAATGACGGGCCCTGGATCACCTGGCTCGGCTACTCAGCCCGTTCCACAGGCCACGCTGCCTTCCACCCACCCTCCTTGCAGAAGTCACCTCTGTGCTTTCCACGTCATAGTGAGTGGAGTCCCTGGACATCTGCTCCCCCTCCGCCTGTCTTGAGACCAGGCCTGTGGGTTCAGGCGTGCTTCTGAGC